AAGTACTAATATTGATCAACCTATGTTATTTCAAACTCAGACACCAAAGACAGCTCAAGCATACTATTAATATTATTGCGTATCACTATTACGCATAGCTAACTTCAAAGTTAAAATTTTGAAAAAACATTCACATTTTATGAAATGTAATAATAAAAAGAAGAAAAATAAGTAATTTAATGAAGTAAAATTTCTAATTCAAATTATAACATTTATAAACTTCCCATGATAATTATTCTTGCATTATTGCAATATACATAGAATGATATAATAATTTTTTATTCGTCTCGGACACACATTTTACACTTTTGATAATCTTATTTTATCATTATCATTATTGCTTGCTTGTATCAAGTGTTTTTACTTGTATCAAGCATTTTTACTTACGTCAAGTATTTTTAATTACGTCAAGTAGTTTTACTTATATCAGGGGCTTTTACTTTAGTCAAATCGTCAAAATGGCCCTGATGAGAAACTACCTTTAGTCAATACTTTAGTTACGTCAATGACTGAAGTCAAAAGTTTTGTCATACATCATTAATGGTAGTCAATACAATTCCGCATCAATTTCTTAAAAGAACTACTACCTTTAATCAATATCCTCTTGTATCACCTGGAAAATAACCACCACCTCAACTCAATATCCAACTTTCACCTGATCCTGTCGTTCCTGAATAAACTGATACTTTTACTATTTCTAGAACATTAAGTCGCCCTGCCATCAAACTGACAGTATCGTTGTTGTAGTTTTTGATCCTGTAGCAAAGATTACCGTAAGTGATCCAATTGTTGTGCCAATCAACCCTGGAACACTGTTTTCTCAAATAGTGGAGGTTCATGTACCAGCAAAGTCACCTAAATTCATACGTATTGGAGTTACTGTTGAGGATATACAAGCTACGACTTCTTTAGGCTGTGCATATAATATTGTTGGCGATGCTGCTAATCTGCGGATATTGACTTTTATCCCGTCTCATTATAAATTATAATGTTAAAATAATAAAAATCAAATAGAATAGTTTAATGGTTAGTTGTTTTTTACAACGGATTCTACTCAATTTAATTAATTTATATTTTATAATTCTTTATTCACTATGAATAATCTCGGTAATTTCATATCCAATATCGCATGGCAATTTGAAAAAGACGAAAAAAAGTGTTTTACATTTTCAAGTATATAAGTGAATTAAAAAAGGAAGATCAAAAATGCGGGTCATATTGAGATAAGAAGCAATTGATTATTGTGAAAAAAAGAAGAGTCGATGGTTGGTGGAAATTGGGACCCAAAAAAGAAAAGATCAAAAAACCGACAAATTCAAGAAATCGAAAACTCTTTCAAATAAATATCCACGTAGAAGATCTATTCGATTCATCTTTTAAATATATGGATATATAACTCGTAAAATCTTTTACCAGATATTGGAAAAACTTCATTTGTAAGACATAATTTTGTTCATGTTCGCTTTATTATAAAGATAGATCGGTTGTTTTTTATGGTTGGATAAATATGATGCATTATTGAGGTAATTTGGTGGGAATATACAACGTCTTCTTGTCAGGGATTGTAAACATGGATAATATAAAATTATATACAAAATTATTACAATCGATAGTTTTAAAAGCATTTGTTTATTTATTTGACTCTTAAAATTATAAATTGTAAAAAAAAATTATAACTCAATAAACAAATAAAACACAAGATATACAAGTCATCATTTAGAAATGGAAGAATTTCTCTTAATTCAATTATTAAAAATCTTGAAGATATGAATAAACAAGAAAATTTTTGCTAGTAGCATTAGCAATAGAAATATTATACTTTTAATTTATTAACAATTTCAACATAATAAATTTCCTCGATTATATACATATTATATTAATTCTTAATATGGGTGTAATATTGGTAAAAGATAGATAGTAATCAAAATAATTATTAATAATATGATTTTTACTTGATTAGATTTTATTCGGTTTTGGTTGTCCATCATTTGGTTTTGGTTGTCCATCATTTGGTTTTGGTTATCTATCATTTGGTTTTGACCATCTCTAATCTTACTTGCAAAAAATTTAAATTTTTCTTCTATGGTGACGAATCTTGCTTCAATAATACTATCTTTTGGTATATTTGAGAGCAAAATTTTATATTCTGATGTTTCCTTTCTTTGTATTGCTGGATTAGAATAACTATCTTTGAGAGATGTAACGAAAATCCCTAAAGTATATTCAGGGTACCTTGATAGCATACCTTCAAAATCGCGAATTTCCTTGACTTCTACTTTTTTATTCGAGTAATTTTTACATTGTACAATTACCGTAAAGTCTGGAAAGATAGCATCCCCTTTTTACATATGTGTAACATTTTTTTTATATTGACGCTCAATTGTTTTAAAGTAGGGGGTGCTATCTTTCCAGACTTTACGGTAACAAGTACAATTTATAATTTCCCACAATGTCCACACCACCATCACCTTGTGAAATCCTACATAATAAAATAAAGTATTTATGAGCAAATATTATCATTGTCATCAAGGTAAATACATAGGAACCAAGTACGAGCATTTATAATCCACACATTCTATTCATCACAACTTATGGAGTCTCACCAATAAGCTTTCGGTTACAGAGCAAATAGAGAAAGACGTTCACCAGTACGATTACTTGGCTCTAACAACCTGACTCGGTGGCCACGTGGAGTTTCCAGTTCTCTATTTGTCGTGCTTCCTAGTGACAGCGTAACTTCAGATGCATAATGACTAAACAATCACTCAGTGAGATAACCCACCTTACTCGTTTATAATCAACCTTCATACTTGTAAGTACTCGATAAACTTTCTTTTCAAATCGTTTCCTTTTGCAAAAGCAGAATTGTTCATATTGTTTATAAGGTAATTTTTGAGGTTAAAGGTTTTTTTTACTTACCTGTTTATATATATATAAAAATCTAAGCGATAATGTGTGTTTAATATCCTAAAATGTGAATAACCCACCTTATTTATTACTTTAGATTTCTTGGCTGACGTCAATCAGATTACATAAAAAAAATCGGTTGAGTAACATCTGATTGATTGATAACATCAATGTAACAGTAAAAATTACATATCATTTCAACTCAAATCTAGTACTTTATAACAGGTTACTTTGTCACTTGTGAAACTTTTTTTTTAAATTGATTAAAAAAAAAAAAGAATCTTTTATTAATTTCTGTAGCAAATTTTATTGTTGTTATATTTGTAGAAATGGATGCCAGATGATATTATTAATCAAGTTTTCAATAATATCAATTACCTGTGCGAATTGGGAGTCGGATCAAAAAATTTCATATATACTAGTTTTTTCTCAATATTTTTCTTCATATGATTATTGTCGTCATTATTAATTTCCTCGTCTCTAACTTTGAATTACAAATTGTTTTTTTAAAGGATAGAATATTATTTACATTTACTTTTTTTTAAAATCTTTGAAATTGGGTTCCTTTCTTTTTGTTTTATTATTGTGAAATATCGATTTCGTATTCTAGAATGAACAAATTAATAAATGGATGAATAAATATAAACACTATATAGTTGGCATGCTTATAAATTGGGTGCTCGCGCTGATTTCCATAGATATGTTTTTTGCAATCAACCCTACAGTAAACATTAAAATTATTAGACGTGAGTTTTCTAGAAAATTGTTAATTTCCTATTTATTTTATCTTTCAATCGGTCTTATCTCTACAGAGAGACAGTACAGTACAACGAATGCTAAAATACCCGCTTTTCCAAATTGTAACTCAACGATCAGATAGTATACAGCACCTTTAGTTCTCAATTAGAGACATTCATCCTTATATCATTCCTTCTTTTTACTGTAGTACAAAATCTGTATGGCTATATGATCACCTGCCTTATTGATGACCTTGTTGTTCTTGTGTCTATTTTGGCGCCCTTCTTTTCGTGGCACACGTTTGCTAACCACTACTGTATGGACTAATTTGGTATATTGCGGATAATTATAATGGCAGAGCAGAGATGACGATGCTCGTAAATCATACATTGATGCTGGGATGGATGAATTAAACTACTACCGGGATTAATAAAATTAATATCAAAATTGATGAGATTCATATATTCTATATTGATGGGCCTTTTTCAACTCATGGTTAAAACAAAACAATATCGATCTAAAAAATAAAATATACCTTCTTCACATTTTAATTCTAGTGATTCTCACTTTGTAACTTCATCAATACTGGATCTGATTTCCTGCTAATTTTGTTTGACGAAATGTTACCAAAGTTGTAAAACTATTATGTCAAATTCGCTTCCATTAAGTCAAAAATGACACAGGTAAAATTGCTTTAAAGGGTGATAAAATATAAAAGTTCATAAAAAAATAATTAATATGTATTCCAAGGTCTATTTTTTTCTCGTGTATCCCCAATTTCACCTTCAAGGAGCCAAGTTTTTCTTTTGCTGAATACAATACAGTTCCCACACACTCATTTACTAATATGATTGGGACAGATAAAATCATCAATTAGAGATTCGGTGCTTTATTAATTGAAGGTGGGTGATGAAGATGAAGTGGAAGGTGGATGAATATCATGTAATTATAATACTAATAATATGAATATAGATATTTAGATAAATTACCATCCTTCAAACTGCATTCAATTGGTTGTACATTAAATACTTGGTGGAGGGAATACACGTTAAAAGTATCAGGTGTTGAGTGTAATATCAAAGAAGTATTCCCTAAGAATATATTTGAAATGATTGGCTATTAAATAATAATTATAAAGGAATTGAAGATGAACAAGATATTAAAATTTGGAATTTCATTTAAATTTATTTAGAAGATTCTATTAATATTGTTATCTATTTCACTAATGTGGGGACTTTCTAATAGACTATAAATTATACCCAACTTTGCATATTATATCCATGGCTTTTTTCTATTTTCTATTGAAAAGCCTCTAAGAAAATCAAAACTAATTGATGTCGTAATCGGGGGGTTTTTTTTGTGATCTGCATACCACGTACATAATTTCCGAATTTATGTAAGGAACATAGTAAACATATTGTTTTCAAGCCATTACTCCTCCTCTGTTTACAAAGATATAGGTACCAAATTTGCATGAAAAGTAGTATATACATTATAGTTTAGAGCTATGGAAAGATTTAACGGATGTAAAAATACAATTGGTAAATGGAGGCGTAAAAAACTCATTTGAAATACAGAAAATTTCTTTCTTTATCATAATACTATTGCAACTTCTGAAAAAATTGTACGAAATAAAGATTTTTCCCTCCATGGTACTGTTCTAGAAACGTCTCCGATTTAATAATTTCATAAATGTGACGATTTTTCAGAAGCCTTAGCGATTGAAAGTTCGTAGTTGTAATCTTTTTTTTTACCCATTCCCAAAAAATTATGCGAAATAAAACATATTAATATTAATATTCTACAGATACCTCACGCAATTAAATTGCTTGAAAGATTCAAAATAAAATAAAAATTTATATATTATTTAACATGCAAAATTTTTTTGTTACACTATTTTTTAGAGGAAAAAAGGGGAGTATATACCATAAAAAAATCCGCATAATAATAATAATATTAATTAGGAATACCCCTTAAAATAAATGACTCCTTTTTTTATACTAAATATGTAGAAGTTCAGTGAACTAATCCTGTTACACTGCGGATTTTGGATCTAATAAATAATTTATATAATTTCTTTCACGTGGTTTTATTCCATTAAAAAGATTTAAAATCGTTCAAATAAAATAAAAAAATAAGAACAATAATGTCACCCATTACTCGTAGCAAAACAAGTCCAAGACGTTGGTTATATCCGGTATTTCCAACTTTAGCAGAACTAGATGATGCTTTTCTATTAGCTGTATCGCGTATACAACAAGATGCTCAAAAATTACTTGGTGCGGAATTAACCGTACTAGAAATCAGGCAAAAACTTTACAATAGCCAGTCACAAGAATTCTGGCTGGTTAATAATTTCGATGCTTTACAAGAAGTTATGTATTATAAAATGAAAAAAAATTTATTTACAAATTATAAAGATCAATTAACGGCTGCTGGAATAGAAGTTACAAAAAAAGTGGATACAATGCAATTACTAATTAAGACAATTATTGATGATAACAACAACAGCAGCAATAATCAAATAGATTCGTTGGAATTTAGTAATGATCATTATCAACACAACAACAACAATAATAATTTTATTGATTCGCGAATTTCAACACTAATAACTGCTGATGATAACGATTATTATAATGACAATGATAGTGATATTTGTGGTGTAGGTAGCAGCAGTAGCGTTTGTAGTGAGCTTAATAATAATGAAATCAATTATAGTAATATTAGTATTAACCAGATAAGTAATAGTGAAAGTGGTTGTAGTTATTTTGGTAGCACGGTTAGTGACAATTACACATACAATAATAACAATGGCGATGACGATGGTGATGGTGATAAGAATGGAAACAATGACACCATTGAATTAATTGGAGGAGAACAATCTTATACGGAGACACATCATAAATTTCAAGATTATATAAAAAATTTTATTTGTAATATTGATTATTCGTATTTAAAAAGTTTAGGAACAAAAACAAATCTATTTGTTATAATAGTGTTGATTATAATTTTTTTTAATGAATTTGGTGCAAATTATTATTATCAACAGTTTACTACTGGTCATCATCAACACAAAATGTCATTAAATAATGTTCAACTTCGTGACAAGGTAAAAGAACAAGTTATAAAGTATGCTGAGAAAGAGATTTCAAAAAGAACTCACAATTTAGCCAACAATAATAAACCCAATGATCTTATTGGTTTAGTTAGAACACAAATATCTGAGGTATATTATATTTAAAAGTGATAATAATAATTTTATTAATATTAATATCATTAATTGATCAATTAATTAATCAATTAAATATTAGGAATTAGAAGATAAGTTAACAAAGATTGTTCATGGGTCAAGTACTGATTATGCTTTATTTACAAGTGGTGCACAAATTATAAGTCAACTAACATCAAGAGTTTATGAAGAATGGCCAAGAAAAATGCACCAGAAACTATGGGGTTATTTAACACATCAAAATATTATAAAAAGTCGTGAACCAGATGTAGTGTTAAAACCAAATACCAATGTTGGTGAGTGTTGGTGTTTCAATGGTACAAAAGGTCAAATTGCCATAAAATTATCTAGAAATATTGTTTTCACTCAATTGGCACTACATCATATTGGCAAAAATGTTTCAATTGATCCGATCAGTTCTGTTCCTAAAGATTTTGAATTGTGGGGATTACCTTCAGACAATGAAGAAGATGTTAAAAGAAAAAAAGAAAATGTTGTTTCGAATGATGATAACATTAATATTAATAATGATGGTGATAATGGTGTTAATAATCATACTCATGATAAAATCCACAATCATAACATTCATCATATTCATAATGATAATCATAATAATGACAGCAGTAGTAACAGCAGCAGCAATAACAATGATGATGATGAAAACAAAAACAATTTTAAATCACTCAAGAGAAAATTTTTTAAAATTAAGGATTTCAGTATATTTTTAGGCCAATATCAATATGATTTAATGGGCAAACCATTGCAAATATTTCATTTGCCAAAATCTATTTCAAGAGTCAACAATAAACGCATTCAAGCTATAATGATGAAGGTTTTGAATAATCATGAGAACCCAAGATTTACTTGTTTATATAGACTTCAAGTACATGGATTATTTCCACAATAATAATTTATTAATTATATTGTGGAAGCATAGAAGGTTAATTATTATTATTATTATTAATTTTCTTAGAATTTATTATTTGCATTTATTTTTCTATATATATATATACATTCATATATCTTTCTCCTTCTTGTAAATATTATTATGCATATATAATTTTTAAATAAATAAATAAAAAATAAAACGCGTTATTTTCAAATGCAAATTTATTATTTTGTTATTTCATATTTAAAGTACATTCATAAAATCTAATTAAAAATTACTAACTTACTCATCTATTCATTTATTATTATTCATCAATCTTTGGTACAAGATAATGTCAAAGAAAACTACTTGTAGAATTTATAGTATATCCTACAAGCAATGGTATCTCTTCAGATAAACATAATCTAACCTGCTCAGATAATGGGAAATCTTTAGTAAAATTCATCTAATATATTAATAATTTCGTTGTTTCTTCAGGCAAATAAATATTTTAAAAATCATTAAAAAAATAATCACTTTATCTATGGGAGGAAGTTGATTTCAATTTTATGCTGCCATTACCAAGTTCACATCTGTAATGAATCTAATTTCATAAAAATTTTTTAAGAAAAAATAATCTAATATTAATTAACTATAATAACAATAATAGCAATCATGGCAATATATTTCAAAAAAACAACAATGTTATATAAATTACCAGTTTTGCCAGTAACCGCCATGTCTTTGAAACTTGGCAGATGGTAAACTTACTATTGCATCATATACTGTTTCTGGAATACGTACTTAAATTCTCTTGATCAATGTCCATAAATTTCAATTCATATTCACTAAGTTTATCATTTGCATATAAAATAAATGAATAAACAATTAATTTATTAATTAATTTATTTTCTGAAAGTTAACAAATAAATTTTTTGCTTACTTGGAGCCGAAAATGACATGGATAAAGTCTCTGGAGAATTGTTATCAGCTTTTAATGTGATAGCATCATCATTTTTCGGCACACTTCAATAACATGTTACCATTATTATTTTAACAATTTCCTTATGTTTGTTTTCAGCAAAATCCCAAGCTCTCTACTAATTGATCTTTTTGATGGATCCACATCCCAACACCTCTGCATCATTTGTGCATAATCTTCAGGCATTCCAGGCAATATTGGTGGTCGTAAACCTTTTGCACATATATCAAAAATTAGACAATGATTGTGAGCTCTATCATCAAATGGTGGATGACATGCAAATATTTCCCACATTAACATCCCAACACTATAGATATCTGTTTCTCTTTGCCTTTAAATACTTCAGGTGCAACATATGCTACAATTCCATAGACTTTGCCTGATGACTTTTCATCAACTGGATCACATAATCCCAAATCTGTAATAAAACAATTATCTCCTTGCAATAATATATTACCGCTATATAAATCACAATGGATTAAATCTGATGTAATGCATCACATAAATGATAAATTATTATAATTCTATTTTTAATGTTAAATTTAAATAATTTTTTTGTAAATTACCCCTTAAATTTCCATAAGGTAAGAAAAATGCATAATTCCCATTATCTGGGAATTTGGTTATATCATTGCAAGAAACAATCGGTGGTGCTCGAATTTTACAATAACTCATTGTCTGTAATTAAATATAAAATCAATTAGTATTATACATTGTTTATTTTGTTTTAAATGACAACCACCAACCTCATCAAAAAAAGCCTTTTCCTGGTTTACTTGAATTATTTAAACTTTTAATACTATATATTGAGCACCAAAATAACTAAATTCATTTTTATTTTCATCATAATCAATAATATTTCTTCTTGTCCATGTAGCAGTATAAATTGAATTAAATCCACCTTCTGCCAACTTTGTTATATCATCAAATTGCTCAAAAGGTATCCATTCTAAAATATAGTCTGGCAGGGATGATTTCATTTGACATTGTTGGATAAAGTTATCAACTATGTTATTTTCAGAAGTCCAAGTGGTGAAAAGACTCTGTAATTGTAAACTAATACAACCTTCACAGAACCTATCAGAGTATCTTGTCAATTTACAATTGTTACATTCTTTTGGTTTTCCCAATTTATCTTTTGCATTATAAACCTTTCCTTACAATGTTCTTTTCCATTTTCAGAAAGCTCCTTGTTTTTTTTTTTACTAATGAAAGAAAATAATCTTTTATATTTCCTCTATCAGAATTAACATTAGCATTATTACACATTTCATTATAAATTTATATACAAATTTCTCCCTTTCTAGTGATAACGATGATAATAATTTAGCATATGACATCATATAAAAATATAAAACATAAAATTCGACTTTGGTGTTTTAATGAATGTGGAGATTTTTTGAAGGTAACAGGGTGGGTATTGAACCCGTATAAGGTTACATTTTTTCTTAACAATTTTTTTGTACAACATTGTTTTTTAAGGATGTAAATTGAAAACGAAAATTGCATTATTTAAAGAACAACATCATCACGAAATTCTAGTGATCGATTTATTGTGATCCATCAATAAAGAAATTCTTTAAAGATTTAAAATAGAAAACAAAATTAAAACTTTCAAAAGTATGCACCAAAACCCGTCTTATGTGCTATGCAAAAGTTGTTCTAAGCACCAATAATGATCAATCCATGTTGCGTATTTCTGTAGTTAACTTCAAAGTCAAAAATTCTGAAAGGCATCAATCAATTTAACACAACTCATATGTACGTAAAATGTAATGATAAAAGAATGGTTTTAATTTGTAAAAAGAAGAGTCATTTGATTTTGAAAGAAAATATACGGAAATAAAAAGTAGCTTAATTCAAATTACATAACATTTGTAAACTTTCACGATAATTATTCTTCTTGCATCATTGCAATATACACACAATGATATAATAATCCTTTATCCATCCCTGGGATTTGGAACTTTTGATAATCCTATTTATCATTATCATTATTGCTGGTTGTATCAAATGTTTTACTCGTATCAAGCGTTTTTACTTACGTCAAGAGCTTTTTTACTTTTAGTCAAATCGTCAAAATGGCCCTGGTGAGAAACTACCTTTAGTCAATCAATACTTTAGTTACATCAATGACTAAAGTCAACAGTTTCGTTATTTCCTACTATCCAGCTAACGTTACTGGTTAATCTCGATTTTGCTGATCAGGAATTAATGCTAATTAATACTAATACTAATACTAATATTACTAATACTAATACTAAAAATCAAAGTCGAAATGGAAATCGAAATAATGATGAATCAAATAAAATAGCCTGCTATTTAAAAAATTGTGCACTTTTTCTGATTTCGATTTTCGATTTGAAAACTAGTGTATTTTCGACATCATGTATGATATTTACTTCTCATGAAAGATTTCAATCATCCTTCACAATTTAATAAACTCTACTGTAATGCTTATTAATTAATTATACTCACCTAATCAAACAATTCAAATTCAAAATTAATTAATTAATAATTTTATTAAGACAACAACGTTTATGATGCTAATAAATACATATCAGCCAATTTGTTTTTTTTTTTTGGGCCATTTTTTCAAACATATCTTATTGTGTCTCGACGTGGTCAGTAAAATGATAATTAACCCTAAAAAATTTCATTCGTTCCGCTAAAAAAACTATTTTACTATTCAACAGTCCGTCAAACCAATGGGTTTTTGCAAGTTTAAAGTATTCATAACGTTACGATCATACCGTACTGAATTTTGGGGTTCAAACAAAATCAGCATATATGAGTAATAGATACCGAATAAACTTCATAAATATCTGATATCATGATTAGGTAATACTTTGTATAATACAAGTGTTGGCAAATTATGTAAAAAAGAAAAGTCATTTGAAGTCATTTCGAGATCATTTGTCAACATTTTATTATATTAAAAATCAAAAACAATCAAACTGACTTTGTATTATACTAAATTTAAATTTAATTTTAGTTATATTTTAATCATAATTTCGTAATTATTATGGAAACCACCATATAATGTCACTTTTTGCAAAATATTTTTAGTGGTATTTTTTTGTTTCCTTTTCCCTTTTATAAAATCTTATTGATTTGATCCAATTTAAATTTTTGCCTGAAAATTCCAATAATGTCTTTTTCCTCAAATTCTCGGACCTATGGTCAAAATGAAACACTTATCTCGTCTATTCGTAATATTTTAAAAGTATGTCATGCATTTAAAATGATATTATTTTGTACTTGACATTAAATTATTTTAATATTTTATTAGGATTATTCTCATGAAAGCATATTTAAAGAATTTCTTCAAAATGGTCAGAATTCATTTTATACCACTATTACATTTGCTTTTATTTGTTTTTATAATGCTCACCTTCAATAAAACAATAGCTGATGATGCCGGGGCTACACGTTTTCGTGTAATAATTGATAGCCGTTCACACCCTACAAACTCTTTACTCAGCGATAAAATGGAGGCTTGGCAAGGACCTGCCATTTTGATTTTCAATAACGCACAATTCAAAGAACAAGATTTTGATTCTCTCATGCAAATACGCGTTGGTGGAAAACACCGTGATTATACAAAGATTGGAAAACATGGATTGGGATTCAATTCATGCTACCACTTTACCGATGCTCCCAGTTTCATCAGTGGTGATTCTATTGCATTTCTAGATCCTCAGGAAAAATACTTACCAAGGAAAAATGACCTTCCTCAACGTGGCATGATTGGCCCTTTTCCCAAAAACGGCATTCGTAGATTTCGTGAAAGAGATCAATTGTCTCCTTTCGAAGACATCGAGGGCATCGGTTTTCAATCAACATTTGAAGGAGTACTCTTCCGAATACCACTTAGGCAAAAACCAAGTGAAATATCCGATAGAATCTTTCCTATCGACGATGTCCTTAAATTATTTAAAAGCATCAAATCAAATATTACCTCCCATTTTTTATTTCTTCGGAATATCGAGGAAATTGAAGTATCGCATATACCAGAAGCTGCATCTCCATTCCAAGCACATTCTCTCTGGAAAGCAACTGTAAAAAATTTAGATAAAGATGTACGAAAAAAAAGAAAAGATATTGTCGATGGTGAAATTCAAGTTTTCCAGATGAAAATCGAGCTGATTGATGAAGAAAAAAACGAACAAAATGACCAGTGGATTATTGCAACTGGTGCTCAACAAGACCCCGAAGATTCTGAACTGAGAGAATACGCAAGGCGACATAGATTACGTATATTAGGAGGTGTTGCTAGTTTACTTAAAAGCCAAAAAAATGAAGATGAAGTAAACAAAGTGATGGTGAACGAATATCAGCGTGACTTTATGGGAAGAATGGTATTTAAAGGTCAAAATGAATGGGAAGAAATCGAAAATCAGAATGACTTTAAAGGAAGAATGTTTTCTTTTCTTCCGTTACCCGATGATACATGTTTGCCTGTTCACCTTAACGGAACCTGGGCTCAAAGTTCAGATCGTGCAAGATTGTTGCTTGAAAAAGATAACCTAGCAGATTTAGATCATCAGAAGCTCGGTTGGAATAGACACATTTTGCTTGAGTTCCTTCCAAAGGTTTATTGCAAGCTCTTGGAAGAAATTCTTAAATTGCATAATAATAATGAAATTGATCTTGAAAACAGATGCATTTCTAATTTTTGGCCATTTCCACCCGTTACACAAAATTATCCAAAATACATAATAAGTTTTGGTTGCAAAGTACTTCAACATATACTACAATCCGAAAACATTTTCCAACTAATCACTTCTGACTATTATTATTTGCATAATGGCGATGTCACTTTTACTAACGAGAATGTTAAAGTGGACAATCTCTTCAGGTGCTTGTCATATAGTAACATTACAGCTTTCCGTGAATTACTACGAAAGAATTGGAAAGAAATAGGTTACTATATTTTTTTGAAAAATTAAATTAAATTAGACATAATATATATATATATTTATTTATTTATTTATTTAATGTAGGAGTAAAAAAGGATCACAAACTCAAATCAATAATTCGCTCATTACCTATTTGGCCGATGCGATGGAATCCCTCAATGCCAAGACACAATTTTAGTTTAGTTCCAGTTTCAAATGGGTACCTTTTGCCGAAAAACTTTAACATGTATCGAACAAAGAGCACCAAAACTTTTTTAAGTGTTTCCGATGATTTAGATGCTAAAATTTTGGACGATCTTGATGTTCCTATGCGAAGCATTGATTCATATGCATCTGAAGATATTGAACACCCTGAAGAATCTGATCACAACTATGAGGAATTTATGGATAGTTTACTTTCGTATGGAAATTATCTTACTAAGGATTTAATGGAAAAGAATCGTTTTCCCAACGCATTCACAAATGAACTAAAACGTATTGCTGACCTATATGATTATGATAACATTGTTTTTCGAACTGTGTTTGGTGGTGATTCAAACAATTTTCTTCATTTAAGCCTTGCAAAACACGCAACAAAGTTATCACATATTGGATTCAACAATGAAATCAATCAGGAATCATTCACCAAGTGTGCTGTGAAAGTTGAAGAATTGCAAGAAATGGTTAACCCACCATCTGATATACGCTATCGTGGATTTATTTTGGTTGATCATTTTTATAAAAATATCGGCAGTTTTGAATTTAACGGAATTGATAGGATTCCGTTTGTTCCAATTGTTAAATGTTTAGAGAAACATTACAATAAATATTATAATTATACCCAGGTTTTAGATTGCTTTAAAAATGTAATACTTCCTGAATATAAAGAAGTTGCATGGAGTCAAAAGCCTTTAATTGCAGAAGATGTGATACCACCTTGTCAAGTACTTCAAAGATATCCATCATTCGGTAAACCAAATGTTGCTACTGTAATCAAACACCTCCGTTTTTTACGTAAAACACTTATAGAAGATAGCGAATGGATGAATTGGAAAGAAACATTCGTTTTTAATGTTTTTAAAGTCTATGAATGGCTTGATGAAAAATGCTTAAATGAAGGTCTCAGTGTAAAGGAATACATCAATTCAAACGAATTACTATTCCTTAATTTTAATAAAAATCAAGATCCATTTGACACTGAAAACTGGGTTTCTGCAACAAGTTTGGTTTTGAATACTGAACCAAATGAGAGAAAGTATGTAAATCCTCGTCTTGCTAAACATCACACAATGTTAAAAAGTGCTGGCGTTCGAGAAATAAAATCACCAAGTTTCAAAATACAGGTTAGAGAATATGACCAGTCAAAGATCAACAAAGCCATGTTAGGATTTTTATCAAGAAAGGATAATCTTTTGCATGATGTTGTTTTTATTGTAAATGGTGAAGAAATATGGGCAAGTCAATATATGCTTGCTGCAAGCTCTAATTTTTTTTACCAGAAATTTAATTCATTAGAATATGTAGGCTCAAGTACGGTTAATCCAGCCACAATCACGATTGATAATGTTAGTCCTAGCTCGGTTCACGTTTTATTGCGTTACTTATATGGCCAGAATGTCGATGTTGCAATTTGGAATAATCAAAGTTTAAAAGGAAATAAAATATCAAATTCGGAAAATTTGGAATTACATAAGAACATACTTGAGTTAGCAAACGATTATGAACTAGATCATTTAAAAGATCTTATGGAATTAAAGCTCTCTCATTTGGTTAACAGATCAAATGTGTTAGAAATGGAAGATTTGGCAAGGGATTTAAATGCAAACCAACTCGAAAAGTATTGTTGTTGTTATATTCATGAAAATGAAAACTTATAATTATTTTCTTATATTATACATATAATAGCATGTACGCTATGACCTAGATATTTTATGATTTTGAAATAAATTGCATTATCTAAAAATTTTATTATTAAATATGATGACTCTTGTTGATAATTCTTTATATAAAAAATTTACAAGTAGATCAAAAATCTTTGTTACTTTCAAAAATGATGCATACATCACTATAACTTATCAGAAAAAGTAGAGAATAAATCTATTTAGTCGACTAAATAAATGGCGAATGTATGAATAGATAACCGGTTTTTTCTCGCTAATCCTCTCTGTCCAAGAAGAAACCTCCTTTTCTTTTGTGTTCAATTTGTATTGTAAATTCTTTTTCATAAGACTTTCACTAATTATTTCAAAGAAACTAAACCGGTTTTCAAATTTCTAATAAAAAGAGGGAAAAAAAAAATATTATATAATTTACAAATTTATGTATAGATAATACAGTTGTAAGGGTTTATTAATTCATTTTGTTCTTTTTTCTTGAAAGACGAATATTTTTTAAACAATTCTTTAATCGTTTATTTCAAGTGACCAAAAAAAAAAATTTTTTAAAATCCAAATATATTTGTAATATAATTATACCTGATAATGTATTCGTCATAAGTTCTTTTGATCCTTGTCTTAATTATGAATATTTTAATTCTACGTGAAATTCTTCTCCATGTTCATCCTAGAGGGTAATGACTTACTATATATTTAGTGTAAATATCTATTGAATCATTACATTCTAACCATTGACATTGATGTACGAAAAAATCCCAATCTTTATTAATTTTTTAAAAAAATATTTTTTCCCTATCGAGTTTATATATGTTCTTGTTATCAGGTAGGTCCGACGTATTACTGGCAGAAATAAATTTTTTTTTTCTTTAATTCAAATATTTTTTTTTTATTAAACAATAAACTGATTGTATCACATGATTATAATATAAAGTTGCAAAAATAAGTATGTTTATTTCTGCCAGTGATTACATAGGACCTGCCTGATAATTTACATAATTAAAATACCAATAGAACCCTTTTCTATATTTATACATGAAAAGTGTCATTATGACATATAAAATAACGTGCGTTTCCCCCACCCACTTCTTTGATTTACATTTATAAGATCAATATAAAAGCGATACCATACCTACCATCTAAAAATATTGTTTGTTTCTTGTTAGTGCTCGTTGCAACTAGTTACAATAATGGTGCGAAGCTAACTGGGATCACTACCAAAATCCTTTCCTACTTGAATTAATAAATAATTCCTTTTCTAATATTAAACATTGAATTTCCATAAATGCTTTTATATTATGTTTTTGTTTGGACACAATGTAATTTTTTGTAAACTTTTTGATTGACTTTTTCAATATGAATTTTGTATTTGGAAGCTCCCATAATCCATTTTCATGTTCACGCGGAGCTTTTTTGTTTCATCTGAGCTATAGATTCCCTTTACATTATACATACAAATGAATTAATTTAGATAGGACATTATTTGTTTAATTGATATGATGTGAGAGTGGTTGTTCACAAGTCATAGCGAAACGCGAGTATATAGAGCGGACATGTGGTGTGACTTGTGGAATGTAATAAGGAGAACAAGGTATATATGAAGATGCAACTATTAATTACTTTGAAGGTTTGGAAAAAAGGGAGGCAAGTATTAAATCACTTAAAAGAACAATTTGCGCTCTCTTTCAATAAATTTTCTACAATGAAAACTCGTTTAACCTTTAATGTTGTTGTAAAACTATTTACATCAAATTCGCTGCCATTAAGTCCAAGTAAAATTGCTCACAAAAAAAACTTATGGATGTATATTATTCCAAGATTTTTTAATATTTGTCTTGTGTATCCCCACTCCTTTGTTTCGTCAGTTGTTCTCAAGGAGCTAAGTTTTTCTTTTGCTGAATACATGATCGGGGTAGATAAAATCATCGGTACTTTATGTTCGAAGGTCAACTAATTTTAATAATAATAATCCCGTCTTTATTTTTATCCTTATTGTATTGCTCAACGAAAATTCCATTGATAACTTCTGGTCCTCGCAAAGGATAATTAACATTCTAATAAAATAAAACTGATAGAATTATTATGTTTATTAAATAAAATTAATCGTTAAATAAAAACATTGTCGTTGTTTTCTTTGTTTGATAAAAGCAACAAGTGTAGTTAATGTCTTGGTAAAAGGTAACAATTGTAAAAAGTCACATTTATTTGCTTTAGTGAGCAAGCAAGTAAGGTTAGGGTTAACTAGTGAGTGTTAACAACGATTAGTAACATGGTTTGCTTTAGTGAGTAAGCAAAGGTTAGGATTAACTGGCGAGTGTTAATGAAGCATCGTCCAAAGGTTGATCAGAAATACTGGTAGTGTTACTGTAATTGTAAACGTAAGGCTGTTAAACGAGCTACTCAAGTTGTTTTGCAAGTAAACAAAAGCGAGTTTGCTGCAATCGGTCAATAAATGTAAACGAATAAATCGATCACATGTGAATAAAAGGAACTTTATAGAAGCCCTTGAGCTTTGTAAAGGGCCATCTTTATTTATTTAGAGTTATTTGGTACCATCAAGATTCGTCTAGGTGCAATAAAGAGGGAACAAAAGTAAATTTGTAAACTATTAATTGACAAGCACTGAATTATTTGCAATTAACCAACAAGAGTCAGGCCATAATTGTTAAATGATACCACAATTTAATAAGAATCAAAAATTTTATAATATTATTTATAATTTAGCTTTAAGAAATAAAATAAAGATAAAATAAAAAGACAAATAAAAAGATTATAACGAATAATTTATAGTGGAGATTAAATTAGTCATTCGTCGATTCCTTCTTTTGATTATTAGAATTAAATGTAAATAAAAAGCACTGTTAGTATTAATTAATGGATAGTAATTTAATTAATTAATAATGAAATTTTTATTCACCTTCAGCATTTAAGAGAAGAGAGTTAAAATCAAGACTATTTAACGA